CTTAAAATTTTTTTTAATTTTTTTTTGGGGGTAAAATAAAAATATATTCTTTGAAATTTGCTTAAAATACATATTGTCCCATTCAATTTAAGAAAATATAAACATCCTAAATATCTTATTGTCAAAATTTTTTATTTAACATAATCAATAAAAATAAATAAAATTTCTAACTACTCTTTAATACAACAATAAGATAAAAAAAATTGTTAATTGAAATATTGTTGGTTTCATTAAAAATTATTAAATAATGATTTTATTAATAGAAGGGGTCATTTTTATTTCGATGTACCAAAAAAATAGAAGGGATCTTTTGTTATGTGATTAAAAATTTATAGGGGGCAGGATATAATTTTCAAATTTACTGGAGGCAATTCAAATTTTAACAAATTTGAATGAATATATTTGTAATTTACTAAAAAAAAAAATATGAGAAATTACGACAAAAAAAAACCAAGTTTGACTTTGGTAACAAAATAAACCATTAATTTTTTATTTTATTAATTTAAGTCATAGTATTTTGATTTGTTTTCAATCTAAATGATTCGCATATGTCCATTAAGTAAAATAAAAAAATAGAGAGAGAGAGAGTATTTTAGCCATTAAACTCAATGTAGACGTGCATAAAATGTTTAAAATATTATTTTTTTTGTTAAGTTTAATGGTAATACTATTTTTTTCATTAGTATTTCTTAACAAAAATAGACAAGTAACTTAGATTGAAAACAAATTAAAACATTAAAGTTTAAATTAATAAAATAAAAAACTTAATGTTTATTTTATTACAAATATCACATCCTAAAGTCTGTTTTTGTTTTTTGTTTTCTTTTTGTTTTTCAAGTTACCAAAAAAATAAGTTTTCAATTAGACAAACTGATCATTTTCTTGAAACTTCGTAACCACAATTAATTTGACTGACAAGCACAAATGTCTATAGAAAAATATAAAAAAAACAAGAAATTACATATGAAGAAGACAAAAATGGTTCTTTTATGACCATACAATTTGAAAGGGGAGGTATATAATTTTCAAGACATGGTGTTGGACTTCCAACCACAAAGAAGGCATCAGCATCTTGAGGTTTGAACGAGTCAACTCAAATCGAGGAGTAAGTTACTTGAGTTTGGTTTAAAAATTGAGTAATACTACGAATTTTTCTTTATTAATTCAAAAATTATTCAAAATTTTTATTTTAAGGTTCA